CATGGAATAACGTAACAATGTATTATCCAATACCAAATACCACTGAAAACATACATATAAATAACATTATACAGGTTGAATAAGTTACATTTAGAAATATATACAAGTGATGGGTAATCTTGATTGCTAACCTGTCATCTGGAATAAACTAAAACCCAAGTGACTAGGTATTCCCATGAAGTATATTTTCTTAGTTAAGTCAATTGAAGAGGACTCACTTTTAATCTGGATCTTTTGAGGTGGAAAAATGCAGCTTTAATTCAAATATTTTGAGGTAGGAAGAGCAATACACCTTTAATCCGAATGTTTTGAGCTGGAACGATCAATCCATCTTTAATTTAGGCACCATCTTCTTGTGACAGTCTATATTAAGGGCATGGGAGAAGGAAATTTCCACTTTTTGCTTGCTTGTTCTCCTTCTTGCTAGCAACTCCATTCTCTCATCAGCATTAAATCCTACTTCCTCAGGATTCCAGCATAAACTGAAGACTAGCTGTGAGACCTAGTCTCACAGAATGAACATATACTGGATACATGGAACATGTATCTAACTGGAACATGTTAGACTTTCTGTGGTAAACAGCCATTTGTTGGACTACTTAAAACAAGTCATAAGGCACTATAATAAATCCCCTTTGTATATTTATATGTTTGTATATCTCTCTATGGATACAGTAAGCAGAGAGAGAAATTTTGTTCTTAAATTTTGCTGTATTCAAAGAATGAACAGTTTGAGAAGAAAGAAAACTAACATCCTAAAGACCTGTCCCCCATCTCACCTTCACTCAGAGAACATTATAGGGAACAACAATACAGAAAGAAAGACAGCCAATCACTCTGGAGTCAGACCCTTTCCTCTGGCTGTGTAGTCAGTCAGTCAGTCTGATCTCAGATCCATAGGGCTTCCCTCTATAACTTTTGTACTTTTCCTCATTATTGTTTGTAGGACCCTGAAAGGAAGCCTGGTTTATGGTCGAGCACAGGCTAGAAATGGCTGGAGCACTCGGTGATCCTAAGGGACCACAGGGACCACAGGCATTTATGCTCCCAGACTCTAGGCTCCAGACACGATTCCTCAGCCCTCCATAGAATTGTGTCCTTTAGTCATGTAGGGCAATGACTCCTATCCCTTCCACAGATAGAAGGCATGACCGCAGGTCACAGAGGCTCAAGTCAGTACCTCCATATTAATGAGATACCTAAAGGCCAGAGGGGCTTAACTTATTAAGCTTTCCTTCCTAGACTTTCCTCCCTTCAAAAGGTACTTAATCTCAGGCCCGCCCTGGGTCTAGTTTCTCATCTACTTTCTACCATGACAATAAACATCTTAAAACCATGGACTGTTTCTTTTCATCTGGATCCTCTGTGGGGAACAATGGAGCAGGCATTGGAAGACTACAACAGAGCTGCAGTCTAATCTCCCGCAGAACTCCTCTCTGTGTTCTTAGCCACACTGACTATCAACCCAAACAAGCGAAGCAAGCCACCAAGACAAGTCAACAACTCTCATCCCCTCTGGATACAGCTGAAGCTTCTCTCCCTTCTTCGGCTTCGGCCAGGAGCCAATCCATCCTGCGTCTGCCACTTTGTTCTTGGCCCTTCTGGAGCTTTCAGCAGCTCCTGGAGCCCCAAGAGCCTGAGAACCAGCTGGTCCTGGGGAGTCCCAGCCAGTTCTGGCAGTTCCTGGGGACCCCAGACTGTGCTCCCCCAACTGCGAAGTGGGGTTCCCATAGACCAATGCAAACTCAGGTCAGCATGTGGAAAGTGCAAACTTCCTCTGTCTCCCCAGTGACCCCCATGGAGGACACACATTAACCCAACAATTGCAGCAGAAGTTTCACACATAACAATGGCTGCTAAGTCCTGCATTCTTCCTCACTTGTTAAAAGGTAACTCAGAACAGGCTCATCATTATTGACATGTAGATTCTTTTCTATATGACGTTCAAATGTGGTATTTAAAACAGAAAAGTTTTATGTCCATTTTGTCTCCTATCAATGTGACTGATGGACTGTCAGGGATGTCATAATTAAAAGACTTTTACTTATATTATATCGCTATAGGAAATTAAGAAACAAATTCATAAATAAACCTGACACATAAAAGTGAAGACAAATGGTATTCCTAGAATTTTGCACATGTAAAAATATTTTACCATGCAATCACAAGCATTTTGTTTACTCCCTTTTGATTTTCAAATAGGAAAATATAGCTTAAGATTAAAAATCTGAAAGAAAATTATTATTTCAAGGCTTGAGAATGATATACTAATTTGGGGATTTACTCCTTTGTGAATTTTTCACTGTCTCATGTAGTATAAACATAAAGGTAACTTTCTACTTAGTAAAGCCCATTATGTACCTTATGTTTTTACTGTCTTACAGAGTTGAGGTCTCAGGCAGTGTCCTCATTTTCTTCATCCCTCCACAGCTTGTTCTACCAGTCACCGGTTAGTGAAGGTCTGACCTCAGGTGTGACTTCATTCATATCCCTCCATTCTGATGGTCAAACCTTCATTTTCCTCTAGTCATTTTCTCCTCTTAAATTCATCCTTATACCATATCTTATAGGATATAATGCTAAATATGAGTCATTTGAAACAAGAATGCTTATAGGAGACAGTTAATGGAAGAGATATTCTTCTATATGCTTCATGTCCCATGTCAACCAGAGAATTTACAAGTTTAATTATTCACTGCTGCAGAACCTCTTATCCTAAACAAGAATAAACAATGAAGCTTAAAGGTTTCAAACTGCGGGATATCAATGTACCAGGAACAATTCCAAACAATTAAAGATATGAATTCACTTAGTTCTCATGAAAACATGAGAAGTGTCTTATTTCACTGATAAAAAAATAAAAATATTTTAAAAATAAAAAAAAATAAAACAAAACCAAACCTCTGGCAGTTAGATGCCCTGTCCGTTGCTCAGATACTTTTACTATGAGGCTAAGGAATCTGACTGTGGAGCCTATAACTGTGGCCATTAAGACATATTGTCTCTTAGTGAATAAGTACCCTGAAAGGTTATCAAGTGTTCATCCCTAAAAATGTCTTCACAGAGAATCAATATTGCACAGACTCAGCAGGTGTGTGTGTGTGTGTGTGTGTGTGTGTAAAAATAATTAAAAAGAGTTCATGAAAGTTGTCATGAAGCAGAAAGGACATGGGAGAAAAATAGAGGTGAAGTTGAAATGTAAGTTCAGTGTAAAATAGGAAATTATTAAAAAAAAAAGGTAAGACTGGACTGTAAAAATAAAATTAAAAATTTAAAATAAAGAATGGCTACAGCATATCCAGTAATGTTATTACAAAAGTCATACTATTAGTCTTCCAGTTTGCTCAATGAGCTTCCTGCTGCCCTGTGCTGAGGCACCCAATGCACACATTCATTCATTCTTTTCTCCCACTGCTAGAATTGTATGACCAGAAAAGACAAGTGCTGAAGGAGCACTGTGTCCTGCAGACACTGTGGAATCAGCGGCTTCACAATACCCACAGGAAAGGTCAAGAAACGGCCAAGGGACCAAAAGAAGAACGCTTTATTGTATTTTAAGGCACAGATTTTGTAGTTCCTTGGCTATTTGCATTGCAATGCAATTATATTTTATAGGATCATTAAACAGTAGGATGAAATACAGCTCAAACTGTGGAAAATGCAAACCATATGAATCAAAATCATATACATAACAGTGACTCAGTTTTCAGTTGCTTACCTGTCCTATACATACTGAATTTCTTACACACACACATATATATAAGAAAAACCTACAAAAACAATATTCTGAGGCTAACCAATGCATACATATGAGAATAAGTCTTTACTCTTAAATCAATTCTATCTTTAGAGGAGGGGGGGCAGTTTTTATTTATTCAAATCACACCTAGTATTAAATAGTTAAATGTTGTATAACATTGTATAAAGCAGCATGAAGAAAAATAAATTATAAAAATATAAACAGGACTAGAAGTTAACAGTAAAAAAAAAAATGCCTACTTCTCCAGCATTATTTTTGATAATTAATATATTAACCAATGTGTTAAAGTATATTTAAAAGGAAAATATAACATCATTGAGTTTTTAAAAATTGTCTAAGGAAAAATAAACACAAAATACATTACTTGCAAGAAATATGCGACTATATCAAAGTAAGCTTAATTGTATTTACTTAAAATATACTTTAAATTGAGAACACTTTAGAGAAATCAAAATAAGAGTCTTCTAACAAGCCAGATAAAAATAACTCTAATCAGCTTTTCCTTAAACAAGTTTGTTAAGCAGAGATAGTAGTCTTTAATTTGAATATTTTATATTTGGATCACTAAGTATGTTGGCTTGTTGGTCACATTATCTAGTCAACTTCCTGGTAAACACAGCTGTTCTGTCCCCTCAACTATAGGCAAAACCCCGGGCAGAATATCTGAATTAATAATACACCCTTGGTTACAGAGCAGAGAAGACAAATGGACTTTGAGGGAAATAAAGAGAACAGGGTAACACACATGCTAACAGTGTCGGTTCAGTGAGTGCAATCTATCACTGTGTAAGACTCAGCCTTGTCTAGGAAACTCATTCCAGAGGGTGAAACTAATGGCAAACTTCTATGTGAACCATATTACAAAAATGATCACCACTTCAACCTGTGTGTCAGCTTCTCTGCCCATTTCTCACTATCAGTATATTCTTTTTGATCAGAAATATAACCTTTCGCCGGGCAGTGGTGGCGCACGCCTTTAATCCCAGCACTTGGGAGGCAGAGGCAGGTGGATTTCTGAGTTCGAGGCCAGCCTGGTCTACAGAGTGAGTTCCAGGACAGCCAGGACTACACAGAGAGACCCTGTCTCGAAAAACCAAAAAAAAAAAATAAAAGAAATATAACCTTTCAACTGAAGCTGGAAACCATTAACCATAAAATAGCAATTCATGTGTAGTTACTGAAGATTCAGTTTTCTTGTTAAAACCCAAGAGTACTTCTGTAGAGATAAGGTATGTGGCTTTTTATGTGAATGTATCTAGTCAGTTCCCATTTAGAAAAAAAAAAGCTGGAGCAATTTAAAGTTTGATGACAAATCAAAAGCCCAGGAGGGGTTGCTTAAAGAAGTGTTACTTAAAAAATATAACTACTACTCTGTGTATGTTTGTGCACATATCATTTGGTCACTAGAACAAACATGTGAAGATCAGAGAACCACTTTCAGGAGACAGATCTGCCCTTCCACTGTGGGTTCAGATACCAATTTAGGGTTGGCAAGCTTGTTCAACAAATACTTTTACTTCCTGAGACACTTTGCTAGCCCAAGCACCTGTTTTAGTTCAACAAAAAGAAGTTTTGAACATACATTATACAACTTAGATAAGTAACAGGAATTACTTGTGTTCTGTATAAGCTATTCATAGCCTAGACCTATATGAACCAAGATGTTTGTCTCTTACTAAAAATAATCTAATTGGTTCACGCTACTGGAAACATGTTTTTTTAGTGAAGCCTCTGACTCTTGGAAGACATTTTTATCAGGAGGAATGGAAGGCACTGCAAGTTCCAGGAGAAAAAAAAAACTAGTGATGAGCAGTCACAAGCTACCTTATGTAAAGAAAAGACTCAACTTTTTAAAAGCCTCTTTTAAATACAGCACTTAACAAAGCTATGCCTAATAACAACCTTGCATTGTTCATCAAGAAGGAAGTTAATGCTTGAAGTTAGGGGTTGAGGGACTGGCATTATGCTACAGATAATATGTTACAGGAACGGTGTGAAATAGCAACCAACAATATATTCATTTGGGAAAGTGTTATTATTTTAGTTACCATTATATTTTCTGTGAAACATAATTCACATTCTTAACACTTATTCTTTTCAAATACTGAGTTTGGTGGCTTTTACCATACTCAAAATTATAACAGGAATACTGCCAGGCTGATTCTATGAGACTGTGGCTAATTCTCCTAAGAAGGCACATGCCCCTAGCCGTTAGTGCCAATCCCTTCTTCCCCCAGCCTCTGGCAGTCACTATGTGAGATACATTTTGGTGGCATTGTTCTTTCAGTAGTATATGTTATACATGTCTCTGCTAAAAATTTCACTTATCATTTAAAGCCAGAGACTTACTTAACAAGTCCTCTTGAAATTGTATTTTTTTGTTACATACATTTTTCAAACATACTTTCTCTTTTCATGAAAAGTAGTTTTTATTTTCACTGGAGTATAAAATATTTTCATTTTCTCAAGTAATTCTGTTTTTACTTCAGAAATTTGAAAAACCAATTCCTTATATCAAAAGGTAGGCTTCACAGCGTCCTTCATGACTGCAGATCACTGTGCCCTTCTTGTTTCTTAAAATGCTACAGAATTCAGCATCAAAAGGCCCTGGAGTCCAACTTCCAGGTTTTACAGAGGGAAACCAATCTAATGTGGCCTAGACATGTACAACATTATCAGGCTATGGAAGAGCAAAGCTGAGGTGCCAAATGATAATATTCATGCTACCTCATACCAGCCATAGTTAAAAGCTGTAATATATAATATACAGCCAATCTCCTAGTACTCTCTTTTAAAGCACTGACTTCCATAATACAAAAAAAGAATTATACTCTTTTGTCCAAAATTTTAAGTAAACACTGTCACAGGTTAACTACAAACTACAGGTTTTCTTAGAAAGTAATTTTATAAGTGGTTTCTCAATAGCTTTGATCTGAGAATGTTATTTTATTTTACTATATCATATTAAAAACAGTAACACATTTTCTCTTAGTGATCTATAGGGCCAAAAAGCCCCAATGTCTCTCTGAGATAAAGCAAAGCAAGCCTGAGGTTGCTGAGAACAGGAAAGAGCAGCACAATTTGGCAGCCTGTGATTCTTCAGAGGCCAGTGTCATTTGATGCACCGCTTCTTTGAGAGCCACTATCCCACAGTCAGTGATCTGGAAGCAAGGACTTTGTGAACTAAGGACAGCTGGGCTTTAGCCATTGCAACAGTTCTTCATCTGCAGTGACTTTCTGGAAGTAGAACCAGCCAAACTGGTGATGGATCTGCTGTCATCATCCTCTGTCCTTTTCTTCACTTCCCTGGGAAATGGGAGAAAATGATCACAACAAAAGGAAGCTACTTGTTTACTTACTGGTGGAAATTAATTACAATGCCAATAGAAAACTAAAACAGCTTCCAAATGCAAAGCCTTGGTCATTCTATCATAAAAATATGTCCCATCTGTGCTGAAATTGTAGGCTGTCGGCTACAAAGCTCTGAGGAAGAGATAGATACCTAGATAAATAATTGCATGGTCACAAATATGTTTATCTAATTCACATTTATAATGTCTTATAGGAACCAAGGTGCTTCTAGGGGAAGCTGACACTTTAAGAACTTATGTGGTTGTTTGAATTCAATGTCCCCTGTATTCTCAAGCATTTGAAGAGTTGATAGACTGAGGTTTGATCAGAGCTTTGATCTTGCTGGATATCATTCAGAACAGACTTTGAGGTTTAAAAACCTGGGCACCATTCCATATTTGCTCTTTGCTTCCTGTTTAAGATTTATCTTTTTAGATATATCTGTTTAGATATATCTACCTAATTCAAGGGGAGGAGATTGCTGAGGAAGTCCTCATCTCTGTTTTCACTTCCAGTCACCATGTCTGACTGATGTTAGACATTTCTGCTATGATGATGATAAATGGACCCAAAACTCTTCCTTCTATGAAATATCTTTATCACAGCAGTAGAAAATTAACTAAAACAACTTCTTAAAAGAATCGAGGTTTCCTCTTTCTCAGAACCCATGGGTTGCCTATAGCTCTTTATCTCGAGATAGCATAAACTCCTGTTATAGGTTATTCAACCCCAAGTGGTCAAGCCTAAATATATCTATCTACAAATAAGTAACATTAAAATGGCTCAGTTTAGGTATGTACATGTGTGTGTGCATGTGTGTGCATTCATGTACATGTGTATGTATAACAAAAAAAGCTAAAGAAGTTATGAATTTAAAAGGGTGTCAGGAGGACATAAAAGGAGTCGAAATAGGGATGGAATGATAGAAGTAAATACATTGTTTAAGTATGAAATTCTCTAAAAATATTAAATTAACTAAAAAAAAAGAAGAAGTGACGTTCACCTGCTGTAATTTCAGCAGAGGAATCCCAGATTCAGAACAGCAAGAACTTGGACACAAACCTGGCTGTGTCTACAATTTATTATTCAATTGCACACACACACACACACACACACACACACACACACACATTCAAGTAGAGAGGTAGGTGAAACAAAGCCATGAGGATTGTTAGGCACATGGGAGCAGCCTGGACTTTATAGTTTACATAAAAAGCTAGGTGGGAACTATGAGCCAAACTAGAAATTACAGTTCTAGTTATAAAGATTGTTATAGCACTAGGGTATAGCTCAGTGGTGGAAATCATGTGCAGCCCACACAAGGTCCAACCCAGCACTGCAAGAAAAAAAAATGGAAAAGCAAAAATCAGGCAACCAAAGGACATATGTACAGTGATTAAAGAGTACAGACCGATAATAAAACTAGAAGTCCAAACCAGATCATAATGCAATAAAACTTACAACAATGACTCATAAGTAGTCATCTGGTTTAATAGTCTAAGAGCCTACAAAAACAGCAATGACCTAACTGTCACATGATTGAGATGGCCTTTCCATCAAAATGTCTTTGCCCACCAGTCTTTAAAGACATTGTCTTTAAAGACATTTCTGTATGTAAGTGTCTCGCTCACATATGTTTGTGCACACATATGCCTGGTGCCAGTGAAGACCAGAAAAAGACATCAGATTCCCTGTAACTAGAGTTATAGAGAGTTATAAAATACCATATGGATACCAATAATTGAAGCCAGGTCCTCTGAAAGAGCAGCAAATATTCCTAACCAATGAACCATTTTTTCCAGCCTTGCACACCAGTTGTTTTAAGTAAGTAAATCTGGTGTCTAAACTGCACTGGAGTTCACGTAGGAACTGACAAACAGCAATGACTTTTCCATCTTTATACAATAAAAAAAGAATTTAGCCTATAGTTTGGATATGACTAATTTCTTTATCCACGTGATTTACTATGGCCCGTTAAGACAACTGAGCACTGGTACCTATACTATTTAATAGAATGCAGGCTATTACAGAAACATATAGACTTCTGGAAGGGACTTGGAGGCCACATATCTAGTCCTCAGTTTCATTTTACAGACTAGAGATGCCTACAGTAAAGCAGGGATGTGTGGATATCATCAGAACTCCAGGACTACACAGTGCTCCATATAAGAAAAGATTTTGAGAGACAATGAGTGGTTCAGAAGCACAGCACCTTCCACACAAGTCTCAAATCTTAAGTTTGATCCCCAGCATCCAGTCAAAATTGAAAGGAGAGAGCCAACTCCACACATGTACACAGGTGCATGCTCACACTCACAAACATATCACACACACACACACACACACACACACACACAAGCATGTGTGCATGGCACATAATAAATGATGATGATGATAAAACATTTCTTTAAATGAGCTTTTGAGTCTCACTTTACCATTCTCTTTTAGTATGTCAGAAGAAGCTTGTTGCTTTGATCATCACAATACCCACAAGTGTAAGGACAATGTCAATTCTTGTTAAGCCTAGGCTCAGCGAGTTTATAAGATCTGTGGGTTTTTCTTACCTATATGTGTTCCAGAAGCTGTACCTTCTCACCCAGGCATCAGTGTAAAGACTATCATTTTAAAAAGTTATAATCTACTACCTAGAATGAGTTAAATCCAAACATTGTATTTTGTTGAAATTCCTCCTTCACTAAATGTAACTTGTTTAGAAATAAGAGTTGCTGCTCCCAATGTTCTCAAAGCACATAGTCATCACTTGCCTTAATAGGTAAAAGTGTGGAAATGGCTACTTTCTGCCACATGTAACATTAGCTCTGGCCAAAACAAAAATCCACATGTTCAAAAGCCTGTGCTTAAATATCACAGTTGCTGCCTATTCTAGGTTATATGTAATGTCAATAAGGCTTTGCTTTAAGCAGGTGTTTTCATTGGCTGAGATGGGAGTCGGAATTATTCAAATATACCAAGTCAGAGCCCAGGACACCTTCTGTTTATTGCTACAAACAGATGTTCCTTGGACCTCTGGAAGACCTGAGGCCTGTTTCTTAATTATTTCAAGAGAGGGTAGTCATCTATTTCAAGACCACACTCCAAGCATTCTGTTGATACGAGTGTGACTTACTTGGTGCTATAAACCCCAGCCACTAATTAAAACAGCAAGAAAAACCAGAAGGTCAGTTTTCACACTAATGAGTTTTAAACATAATTAAAAATAATCAGAAAAAGAACTGCATGCAGAAAACTATGTATTTGTTTTTGTGTAATTAGATATTACTGTCCTTATTTAGATTTTGTGAGGGTATTTTTTTTTTTGGTTTTGGTAGATACATAATTCCTTTATTATAGCAAGGAATCATGTTTCCATTAGTGGCAGATTGTCTTAGTTAGAGTTTCTATTGCTGTTATAAAACATCATGTCCAAGAGTAACTTGAAAAGGAAAGGATTTATTTTAGCTTACAATGCCTCAACATACTCTATCATTCAGGGAAGCCAGGGGAGGAAACTGAAGGCAGGAACTGAAGCAGGAGCCATGGAGAAACACTGCTTACTGTCTTGCTTCCCATGGTTTTCTCATCCTGCTTTCTTATCCACCCCAGACTACTTCTCCAGGAATGGCACCACACACAGTGGGCTGTGCCCTCCCTCTTCAGTCACTAATCAAGACAATGCTCTACATGCTTGCTTACCAGGCAGTCTATGGAGGCTTTTTCCTGATTGTGCTGTTCTCTTCCAAGAGTTTTTTGTCAAATTGACAAAACAAAAACAAAAACAAAAACAAAACAAAAGCCTAGGGAAGACAATTGCCTCCTTGTCAACTTAAAACACAACCACACTACTGTTAACTCACAACCTTTCTTTTCTTATTTATCCCCAAAATTTCAATATTAGTATAACAATATAGAACATTCCAACTTTTTAAAATTCTAAAGTCTTTAAATTCAAACACTTTTAAAATTAAGTTTCTTAAGCACATATTGCAAAATTCAAAGTTTCTCAAAAAATATCTAGTCTCTGTAAAATTCCAAAGTCTCTAACTGTAGAATCCTGTGTGGTAGAGGGTAGATTCACAGTATGGTTCATAGACTGAGGCCAACTATGTGCTAAAGCTGCTTCTGCCTTTGATGGTCAACCCAATGGTACTAGCATCTCCAAATTGCTAGGTCTGCAGCAACTGGGCTGCATTTTCAGCAACAGACTCTCCTTAGCTTTCTTCGGGGACTCTGACACTGCTACATGGTACTGAGCCTCAACTTCTGTCCAGGACCCTATTATTCTCGGGGTTTCTACTGCATCTGAGGGAGCACCTTCACCAATAGCCTCACTTGGCTTCCCATAATACTAAGCCTCGACTGCTCTCCATGACTCTTTCATGCTTTAAGAAAGAGTACCACCTGGGAGATATAAACAAATGTGGTTGTCAGCATGACATACAGCCTCCCCTGACAATATACCAGAGATTCTATGTGCAAACCCAGAAGACGTCACCTTAATACTAGTCTTTTATTAGTCATCACTAACTTATCAGCTCAAACTGACCAGTGTTGAAAGGCCCCAAAAACCAAAAGTTTCATTTTAGTATTTCTTGTCTCTTGTTAATGACAGCCCCAATTGACCAGAATTACATGTTCTCCATTAAAAATATCACATGAATAGTCATGCTAGAGTCTTGGAAGAACTCGGAAACTTCACAGTCAAGTTTCTATCATCTGAATTACCATCAACTTTGCCTTCCAAGCTCTTATGGAAAAGTCCATTGAGTTTTGAAGATCAAAAGCTTTTCCATTCTTTTTCACAGTCCTCTACAAAATAATATGGACAGGTCTATTCCAGCAATAGTTAACTATTTGGTACAAATTTCTCTTAGTTAGGGTTTCAATTGCTGTGACACAATTACCAAATGGAATATTGGGAGAAAAGAATTTATTGTAGCTTATAGTTCCACACCACAATCTATCACGGGATTCAGAATAAAACCTAAAGGCAGAAAACTAAAGCAGATGCAATAGGGAAAGTAGCTAATTGGCTTTATTTTCATGGCTTGCTCAGCCTGCTTTCTTATATAACCCAAGACCAAATGCCCAGAGGTGATAGTACACATATTGGTACCAAATCAATTATTAATAAAGAAAATGCCCCAGAGGTTTGCCCACAGATCAGTCTAGTGGGAGTCTTCTCATATAATAACAGCGTATGTTAAGTTGACAAAAACCTAACCAGGACACACACCAAACAAAATCAATAAATGAGGGAGACAGTACTGTCACAACTAGGAACATTTGAGGAACTGACATGCACATTTTTTACACAAGTCTTCTACTGATGAATTTTACTCTAATCCACATGCCAAAATGTTACATATTCTCCACAGCACTGCTTTCTCCTAATAATTACATAGTGAGCAATTCAGAGAGTGATTCTAACTGGTATGATATCCAATTTGAGGTTTGGGTTTTCTATACCCTATTTGATCAGCAAAATGTTCTAATATATAGTTAGATTAATAACTATTATTATTACTGTTGTATTTATATTTTGGTTTCAGGAGATGATTCTATTAGTCAGTTATTACCTTTCTTGGTGATACTTTGAGAAAAGTTTAAAAATATTTGCACTGCATCTCATTTGTGTGGTAAAAAATATATTTAGACAATGGTCACTATGAACAAGCAAAATTATTAGGTTTTATAATAGACACGTGTATTGTTTTCCTTACCATGACTGATAGGACTATGTTCGGCAGCAGATAGTTTAACTTAGTGCCATAATGAAGGAATTTGACACATCCATTAAGTAAGTGAAAATCTGATTTGCACTGAGATTTCTAAACACAAGCAAACATTACCGAGCAAGATGGAGAACAGCTTCCACCACGTTGGAGCCATCTTTGGCACTTGTTTCACAGAATAATGCCCCATAGGTCTGTAGAAAAGAAGCATACACAATCCAGTGAAGGCTTTGATAAAATTTTCTCAAATTTGTTATTACATTAAAAACTTTTTAAGCCAAGCATGGTGACATACACCTTTACTCCTGCCACATGGGAGGCAAAGGCAGCCTGATCTCTGAAGCCCAGCCTGGTCTACAGATCGAGTTATGAGACTGCCAGTGCTACACAGAAAAATAACTTGTTTTGAAAAATGACAGTAAATGTGTGTGCGTGTGTGTGTGTGTGTGTGTGTGTGTGTGTGAAGAATGCTAAGAGTAATAGCAAAGAAAAGTAAGCTTGAGAGTTTCAAGACTTATAAACAACAAAAAAAATCCATGTAGTAGAACATGCCTAAAATACCAGTGCTAGAAAGATGGAAGCAGATATTCAAATCCAGCCTGATACGTAAGACCCTGTCACAAACAAACAAACAAACAAAGCAAAAGACAAACACAAAGTCTACACATAGTAATTTTAGGAATACTTCCTAATCAGAAGGTATTTTCTATTTTACATTTAAAAAAACAAAATTTCATTTTGAGGGTGTTTATTTAAAATAATAAAGCACATATATTCTCTTCAAATAATTTGAGACAGATGAAAGTAACATTTTAAGACAGCCATTTGGGAATTAAATATCAAAAGAGCTTTTGCAGTATTAGATTCTTTGTAACTATTAGGATTGCCATGACTACATAGCAATATCTGGTCTCAATGGGGTTGGGGGAGGAGAAAGGATGTGTTTGCTTGTTCTAGTGGCTAAGGCTTCATCCTTCATGCTCTCAGCCTCTTCCACCAGAGCTCCTGTGTTGCTGAAGTGAAATGTTGCCATCCATAGACAACTCCCAGTGGTTCCCCATGTATAGTTACTTATGTTGCTCCTCTGCTTCTAACTTTTAAATGACTCTCATTTTTATTAAATTATTGTATTTATTTATATTCCAAATGTTGCTCCCCTTCCCAGTCCTCCCTCCTTGAGTTCTTCATCCCATTTTCCATCCCCTTTGCTTCTGAGAAGGTGCTGAGATAATATTCAAGTGCTTTTCCACAGCTAACAAGACACTGTTTCATGTCTAGTTGAGGTAATCTTCCAGCATTACCTTAGATCATATTCTTTAGCTCATAAATCTCTTCTCCGGTGATCTAAATTGCCACTGATCTCAGGACACTAACACATGCCCCTTCTAATAGCTAAGATGCCATGACCTCACTTCAACACTTATTTTTGGTTTGATTCTTTGGTAACCGCTAAGTTCCTCCTAATTCTAAAAAGTATCTATCAGGTCTTTCTGCCATAAAACCTCACAGGGTTTTGTACTTACAGTAATTCCAACAGTTATTTGTATATGTTATTATAAAGTAAGATGAAGACAAATTCTTTTAATAAAGGACAATAAGAGATACTATAGCCTTGAATGAAGATTCAATATTAACACAAAATTCAAGGGAAAGATTTGGTAACTACTTTCTGGCACCTAGAGAGAAAAGTAGGAAATAAGAAAAGATTCTACCAGGTTTATATAAGCAAACTGGCAGGAAAAGTTATGCAATTCACAAATGCACATGTAGTAGAAACAGCACTGGTGATGGTTAGGTATGACAGGGATGACAGGAAGAAGTAAAGTAAATCTGGAGGATGACAGGATTAAGTCACAGGATGACTTAAGGAACAAGTTGAAAACACAGACTGGAGCTAGGCCTGAAAGAAGCTAGGTGAAAAACCCCTGTTGTAGGGACCAGAGAAGTAAGATCAAATTAAAGAACAAAATGAATAAACTTTGTAGAAAAAAAAGACTGTTCCTGAGAGTAAAAAGTAGAGGCAGCGGACTCTCTCGTAGGTAAAGACTGTTTCCAACAAGCAGAATATACAGGATGAGAAATCTCTCCAATATAGTGAACTACATAGGAGTAAGATCTGTGTCCAAAACTGCTAGTGACACAGGATGAAGAACTTCTCCAACACAACGAACTACATAGAGAAAAAGTAATTTCTCAAACACAAGAAACTGGAGAGGAGAGGATGGCTGTCTCAACTCAATGACGTATACAGGTATGAACTGTTCTTAAAACAGCCACCTACACAATGTGAGGACTATGTGTAACACACTGAATGACTCAACATCTCCAACTAAGTGTAAAACATAGAGTTGAAGACTGTCCAGCACAATGAAGTACACAAGGGTAAAGGTTATGTCCAAAACAATGAACTACACAGGCATGAGGACTGTTTCCAACTTGGTATACAACACAGAAGAGGGACGATGCAGCATGGTGAGCTTCACTGGATAAGGACTGCCTCGATCAAAGTGGAATACACTGGGGTGAGGACTATGTCTAACACAGTGAGACACACACACACACACACACACACACACACACAATCACATACACACATTCACTCAGTGAAGGAAGACCCCAATACAATGCAATTCAGGGAGGGTAGTGGAGTGTTATGGGCTTTGATTTGTTTCTCTCTCTCTCTCTCTCTCTCTCTCTCTCTCTCTCTCTCTCTCTCTGTGTGTGTGTGTGTGTGTGTGTGTGTGTGTAAAATGAAGTGTTTTCCATAGTATTTATCTTCTATGTCTAGTTTTTATGTTTGTCACACTTAGCTTTCATTTCATATTATTTAATACACACTTTTTTACCTTCTCATAATTATTTGCCCCTATGAGCTTTTTGGTTTGATGACAGAGTGAATATCATCATTAAATCACATTTTCATCAGGCAATCTTGTTTGGTTCTACTGCATGGCTTTCTACTATGAGTCAGAATAGTCAAGAACACAAATCATCTTTCAACAGTGATAGCAATAACAGGATAACAATGCACACATTAGCATTCAAAGTACAAATATACCTCATTCTCTGTACAAATCCAGAGCTGCAAACAATTTTAGATAATTCCTATTAAGCACAATTCTTTAAGGAAAGAACCAAGCCTTCACATTCCTTCCCATCAGCCAAGATACTGCTACACTTCTATCACAGGCAAGACAACTCTTTGTAGCCAATCACATCCACTAAAAATAACTTTCTTTTCAATGGGATTCCTAGACTAGGGAAAGATTCCCCCAGCCAGCAATGTCTATCAAAAAAAAAAAAAGTGGGAAACATTTTTCCTGATCTCCATAAATTTCAAATACTTGGAAAACAGTAATGGGGTGAGTCAACTGCCCTTCTTGTGAGTGTCTAATTACAGTTAAGCAGAATTAGGGAAATCTATTGGTAGGAAGGTGAAATGCCCTATCAGACAAAATATTGATTTGTCAAAGGCTTAAGAGTTTGGCCCCTCATTATGAGAACAATGAGCTACCCTGATATTGCCTCATTTTGGACAATTCCTGATTCTTACCATGGCCAGTTTTTCTCCAAGATATGCTGAAATACACTTTTGTTTCTCTACAGTAGCAACATCACGAAGATCAGCCTTGTTTCCTACTAACATGATTGGAATTGTTCTGTGAGTTCCATCCTGCCAGGAAGGAAAAGAAGTGGAAATACATCAAACACTGAACCAACTATGGTATGGTGCTGTGACAATGGTATGAGTAGCTGCTATTGTCCAGTTGTCTCAAGGTGCCAAATTTACTATTCATAATCATTACAGTTGTAGAACAAAACTGATAGCTATTTTCATTATATGTGTCTTAGTGTTCATTTAAAAATTAAATTGCTTAAATGTAAGATAATATTTTTTAAACTCAGCATGTTTGAAGCATAATCACCCTTCTTCTTCATTTACAACTACAAATTATGAAATTCAGAGAGGTGAAATAAGAATATGTAAAGCTGAAGGTTTGGGTCCAAAGTGATTATATTGCCCCACTTAGAAAATATTCCATTCCTGGATAATAAAGGAGATAAAGTGTACGAAAAGAGCTTGTTGTACAATGCACAGTGTACAGTGTACTATAATCACTTCATAATCCAATGGCGTGACCACAGAATTCTGTTCAGGTGGAATGTCCACAGAATGTAGGGTGATAGGGTCTCCTTAAAACAATGGTCATTCTACATCAACGGCTTTATCCCATGTGCAAAGTGTAGATAATTCTTCATCTATCCTACAATAAAATTGGGTTCAAAGTTCCACACATACTTGTCTAATTTACAAAGAGAAATAGTCCTACATATCAATCCTCCTAAGTCATAGATTCCAAAACCACTCAATCAGTATGTGCAGACTTCCACATGATAACAGAGTCCTTAGAGGAGCCAGAGGCTCACTTCTGGAGGTGAAAACCTCATAGGGCATATTTTGTCTTGTTATGCTACAAGGTAATTAAAGATGGATACACATGACATAACAGAAACACAGGCTTCAAGTTCATAGTTAGGATAAGCAACAGTCCTACAAGCATACCGGAATTAAACTGAAGTACTTAAATGGCATGCTCACTCAATTTGGTATGTTCCTCATACAGGGTCAAGACAATATGCCAAACAAAAGACTGTGTTTGACTTTGGATCTTTGACTTCACACATATAAATATATTTAATGCAAAGGGCAGCAAAGAGTACATGGCCCTCTTCCATACTTGTTGTTCTACATGCTCAGATGCTTATGAACTATGTTCTTTGGTGATCTCCTCAGAATTAACAGTGAATAAAAACAAATAATTAGTCACATTAGGTTAGGAGCTGAGTGTCTAAATGAGTTTCTAACATCTTATAAACAGAATGTAGCACATCTTCAAGTATTGACTTAAACACTGCTTTCTCCATGAAGGCCCCTTGGTCACTGCTGCCTCTTCACATGCCTGGACTCTATTCTGTTTACTCTTCTACAATCCCTGTCCCTTTTTGTCATGCCATTTCCTTACTACACTTTTACTTTAGCCAGCTGTCTTCACCATGTCTGCCACTAGCAATGTCGCCACTCTTTTTTAACTAATTAGTAGGGACTCATATAATTTCAATGTTTCATCTTAGAACAAGACTTTGTGAAGGCTTTCTTGCCATTCTTTTTCTACAGTGAGATCCAAATGCAATGTGATACCTATTTCTCTCTTCTAAAAATTATAGGATCTCATCTTCTTTTCTTCCTTTTCAGACCCCATGAAAAGGGATATAGAGGACTGAAAAGCTCACTTATAATACATACATGCAGTGCCTCACTTAATGTAAGGACATTTTCTTCTTTGGCTACCTTGCCTTTTCTGCCATTGTGATTTTCTGAACATGTTCTTCAGCATATACAAAGCCTGAGAACAGAGACTAAGTCCCAAATATTAATGATCAAATATTGTTCAGGGTACTGAGTGCTATAGTCTGCTGTGTTCTATTCAATAGCAGGATGCTCTCTTGCTCATTCCTTAGACTTCCTTTAGTTTCATCAAGGCAACTACTATTCATTTGTAACTCACTCTTGTCAATGTTAAGTCAAAAGGTTATGAACTCCTTTTCATCTTTACATACTAGTATTATGAACACAAGCAAGTGCCATATATTTTCTATGCCTCGGGGTTCTCATAATATGTAAAATTTGCTTCTTTTTGTCTTATTTCTCAGATGTTATAGAAATAATGTAATATATGGATAATTTTTTCAAATAAAATATTATAGAAGTCATAGTGACTTTTAAGATAGGTACTCTGGTAGAACAAAGGACATATTTATGTTTCACCATCTAAAAATTATTCCAATCACACAATATCTTTCCATTAATTCTGTATCCATGAAGAGAATATTAACCCACAGGTACACTTGAGATCATACAGCACTTGTCTCCAGTCATGACTGTGACTTAATACGTTTAAAATACAAGTGAAATACTCACTTAGGAAGTTGTATTTACCACTTGCTTACATTTTCAAGAAAGTATCCTGTTGTTTTTATGCTTGTTAGTAATACTTATTGGTATACCTCCTATTTTTAAAAATTCTTACCGTGAAACTAAATCATATGAAAAGTCCGTAAGTGGAGACACAGCCATCTTGACACTGAAGTCCCCCAATATCAATTCATATTTCTAACGTATCTATGATGTCTGAAAATCCCATATGACAACTAAAATAAAGTCAGCTTTTGATCTTAGCCTTCTAACATCCCAGTGGTATCTCAGCTGTTTATAAAATTCTTGCCATAGTGTACATCCAATTAAACTACTTTCATGTTTGCTTTCTTAGCTACCTGTGTTTCCACTTCATTACACAAGGTTTCTACATTTTATGAGCAAAGAACCCAGAAGTTATTTTCAGAAGCTACTTGAGGCAGTATCTTCAACTTTAGAAAACTCCCTGGGAAGAGATAAGGTTGCAGAGATCACTAGCTCCTAATCATCCAGCACAAAGCTGGATTCCTTGACAGTTCATGACTCCTTTGCACAGTTTTCTCTTTCTTCGTTATACTCCTTACCTCAACCATATCCACCCATTCTCGTACATTAAGAAAGCTTTTTTCACAAGTAACATCGTACAGCAGTAAGACACCATCTGCTTTTCGGAAGTAAGACTTGGCAATACTTCTAAATCTGGAAAAGACAAACGCAATCTCAATGCCATTCTGCCATCTTGTCATTCCTGTGCACTTCTTCTCTACTATGCCTTTTAGTCTTCAGTTTCTATAACCAATTCCAACAAATAAAGCCTTAGTAGTAAACATTACTAATGAACTTCATTAAGAGCACTGAAGAAGCCCTTTCTCCACCAGACAATCCCAAGAATGTCTCCCAACCCCAAACTTTAGCCACAACAATACCAAAAGCATACTGAAAACAAAATTCAACCCTAGAAACCAGTTACCAGACAGGTGTAGAACCAAAGCTGCTTCAAAATGAGGCAGAGAGTGACTGAAAAAGAAATCTAATATTAAGCAATATGAACTCCATGTGCACATGTGTACATGTGTTTATACACATACCCAAAAATACAAATGGTTGAACTCCTAGATACTAATAATAATGTCCTGAAAGGGCTGGAGTGGGATTTGTATTTGTTTTGTTTTTTACATGAAAGGAGATAATTTATTAAGGGGCCAATAGAAAGGAACCTGGATATAAGTTGTATCATGCCTGTAGCATATCTCCAAAAGGCTAAAAGAGGGAAAAGCAGTATGATGAAATCTGTAGTGACCAAGAGCAGGAATAGGCTCCCCAAATTCATCACTGAATCTTAGCACAATTCATAAAACATGGTACAGATACAGGAATCTCAAATACTCACTGCATACTAATATATTTTGACCCACAGAGAATAAGATAAAATTAAAACTTGTGCTTCATACTTATGGGCAAAAATTTTAAGCTATGGAATCACCAGAGTGTGTCTGTCACTTATCTGGTGTTATTACCCTTCAATCAAGGATATTTAACAGAGTCTCCTCAGCTATCATTTGCTGCTTCAAAAATAAGTACCTCTCCACCTGTCACTGCATTCAGAAATGCTGACTCCTCTCCACAAAGAAGTATGATATCCAAACCAAGCATCATCTCAGTGAAAGTTCAAATAACCTCTTTTCATACAAATGATACATACATATGGGAGTAGATATTAAAATAATCAGCTTTATTATTACTTACTTTCTTTATAATTATAAATACAATATCTTAACACACAGCAATATGTTGCAAATAATAATAGCATAAAAGCCAACCCTGAGGCTTGCCTTTGTATTCTTTAATCCAAAACATTATGAAAAGCACTTGCCTTTCTTGCCCAGCTGTATCCCAGAGCTGAAGAACTGTTTGTTCACCATCTACAATCAGAGTTTTCATTTGGAAATCAACTCCTGAAACAGAAATACAGGTAATTCTTTAGGTTTGTGACTTAGATGATAGGAAAACTAAAGCCAAAGTAGAAAGAAATATACTTGGCTTTCAAAGATTGAAGCTCAAATAAGTTAGATTACATGTGTACATATAGATGTGCTATCTAAAGCCAGGCTGATTCAAGGAAGAGCTGGCTCTATGGAATAGAGAATAGTCATTTCTTTTTTCCAGGATGATTAAAATCAGACCCATATGTGTGCATGCAAAACTATATTATCTGTATGCACATGTGTATATATATACATATGCATATATATATATGTTACATGTGTTCTATTTATATATTTTTAAGTATATGCATGCATATGATATTGTATGTATATGTACATGGATGTCACATGTGACCACTACATACATAGAAACATGTATATTTATATACATATGTATGTAGAGAGCTGTGTATATCACACACATGCATATGTATGTCAGGGTCTCTAGCAACCAAAGCAATATTTTAGTTCTTTTGTGAATAAAATAAGATAGATTTGTTCAGTTTTGTTATCTCAGAGCTTATCAAAGAATTATAAATTTACAAATGTGCCCAATGTGATGAGGGCAATCAATTTGTTTCATTTCTCATTGTCGAAATAACTCTTCAGATGAAGAAAAGCAAATGATAATGTGTTTCAAACCCCTTCTACTGATTATTATGTAAATTTGAAAACAAGAATACTAAAATTTTCATTTTTTATTAGTTCCTTGTGTAGCTTTGGTACCAGGATAATACCTGGTAAGAAGAATTAGAAAATGCTCCTTCGGTTGCTATTTTGCAAAATAATTTGAATAGTATATATGTTAGTTCTTTAAAGATCTGGTAAAATTCTTTGTTTAATCCTCATGGTCCTGCATTATTTGTGCTTGGGAGATTATAATTACTGCTACTATTTCACTTGGGGCTATAGGCCTTGTCAAATTATTTATTTCATCTTTATTGAACTATGGTAGGCTATATATATGAAAATATTCATCCATTTCTTTTATGCTTTTCCAGTTTGGTAAAATACAAATTTTTATTTTATTTTTCCTTTTTAAATTTTAAAATGTTTACTGATTATTATTTGATTTATAGATACATATATACATATAGTTTTTCCTCAACCTATTATCTATAACTCCGCTGGTAGTCCAATGACCCTTTCACATGATCATACATAAAATATACTGCATACCAGATATTTACATTACAATTCATAACAGTAGCAAAATTATATTTATGAGGGAGCAAGGAAAATAAATTTATGGTTGTAGTCACCACAACATGGTTAACTGTGTTAAAAGGTTGCAGCATTAAGAAAGTTGAAAGCCACTGATATAGAAGAATGTTAATAGAGCCAAACTATCACCCAGCACAAAATACAGATATAAATGAATTTAGGAGCATAATATAAGAACAGATACCCCAAATAGATAGGAGAGTAAGTGGAGAATAAGGTTAAACTCACTGACACAAGAAAGGACTTTCCAAACAGTACAACAATAAAACAGTCATTAACCAACAATTAATAAATGGGACCTCATAAAAACTTCTGTACTATAAGAATGCTATCATTTTAACCCACATATAGGTAAAAAAAAAAAAAAAAAGAAAAGAAAAAACCTTACCTATCATATATCTGATAAAGGATTAACATCTAAAATATTTAAAGAATCAGAAAAAAAACTGAACATCAAGTAAGCAATTCAATTAAAATACAGAATACAGAATGAAGTGGATAGTTCTAAAAAGATGAAACACAAATGGCTGAGAAGCCTTTAAAAGACATGTCCAATATCCTTGGTCATTTACAAATAGTAAAAAAAGAACTACTTTGAGATTTCATCTTTCCTAGTCAGAATGATCAAAACAAATACAATAAATGACAGAGCAAATATTGGTAAGAATACAGGGAAAAGGGACCACTTATTTATTGCTGGTAGGAGTGCACAAACTTGTACAGCCACTATGAAAATCAGTGTAGTAGTTCCTCAGGAAGCTGGGACTAGATCTACCTCAAGATACAGCTATAACATTATTAGGCACATAACAAAAACACGCTATGTCCTACTACAGAGATACTTGTTCAACCCTGTTCTGTGCTGCTCTAATCATAATAGTAGAAATTGGAAACAGCCCAGATGTCTATCAACTGAGAGATAGACAATAAACATGACATATATTTATATAATGGAATATTACTTAGCTGTTGTAAAAAGTGAATTTATTAAATTCAAAGGCAAATAGAGCTAGAAAAATATCCTGAGCAAGGTAACCCAGGTCCCCCCAAAATATATTCCACATCTTCCCTTATATGTGCCTATTAGCTCTTATGCTATAAAAAGGCAATAAAATTACTCTTGATGACATACTGCTACACTAACAGATAAGTGTTTATGCTAACCACACCAGAGAAGATTCTTCTTAGAGTAGATGGGAATTAACACAGAGTCTTGCAATTGGACAAGGTACAGCAAGGGAAAGATTTTGGAACACTCAGTCCATAAAGTGACCAAGGCTCAGTAATCTATGTAGAAGAGATGGCAAAAAATAAATTCTAAGAGCTAGATTGGATCGATGACTCCAAGGAATTTTGTCTTCTAGAGACAACAGAACTGATGAACATATGAACGGACAGAGACTATATTAGCATGGACTCTGCATAGTTTCAAGTCAGATGCGGTTCCAGGACTGAGGGAAATTGGACATGAGGTCCTACCCCTAACAAAGAAGATATTGGCAATTGATACCTTGTGGCAAAAGGAAAATTCTTTTTCTACAATGGCATGTTACTGGGTAAATTAACCACACACTAGGGCAGACATAGTAAACCAACACAGTTGAACTCCATGGTTGGGATGGGGGAACATTTTGGTTTGGTTTGTTATTTTTTTTGTCTTGTTTCTTCTTTGTTTTGATGTTCTTTTTTTCTTTCTTTGTTTTTTTTAAATGTGGATTCTGTTTTTGAAAGAGAGAGAACATGAAGTCTGGTGGGTAGGGATATGGAAGTATCTGGGAGATAAGTGAGGGAGCCAACATGATCAAAATAGATTGAGCACAAAATTTAATTAAAAAGTGTTTATAAAATACTCAAAAAAGAAAGAAAAGAATGAAATATAAATAAAGAAAAGAAACAACGAAGAGAGAAATTCTACTACTTCAACTCGTTTTCTTGTGGGCATGTAGAAAAGAGCACAAATACAGAGTTAATTTTGACCTTAAAGTCCACTTTGTCATGCTCATTACAAAGTTCTTAGCATAAAATCGAAGCATTCAAAAGTTTTCCCTAGCTACCTATGGAAATATGCACTTCTTTCTGCACCTCATTTTTGAAAATTCATTTTTAAATTCATTTTGAAATTCATTTTGGTCAATTTACTTCCACTGGTGTGAAAGTTCTTTAAATATAAAGATTTGTTCAACTTTCTTTACTGTGTACCTTCAGCATTATGATGATACCAGGCATGCTCTCCATGAAAGGCTTGAGAAATACATGCTCAATAAAAGAATCTACTGCGTCTAAGCAGGGTTCTGTTTGATTGGACTGTCCACAGAGATTCCCATAACCTGTCAGTGGTTTTTTCATGTTAGATTTTAATCAAAATAAGAGATTATTCTATGCACACATACAAACACACACAGGCTCTTTATACTTGAATTCATATAGAGGAATTATAATTTGTGAACCTGTGTATATAATTCTGAAAGAAAAGAAATCAAGCTAGAGATAGCAATTCTAATGTTATCAGTGGAAGTATGAGCCATACCTAGGGTTGCACTTGTGTTCCCCTGAAACTCATTCTTGCAGAGTCGCATGAGGAAGCTGGACTTTCCCACTGCAGCATCGCCAGCTAGCACAATCTTGTAAGCCTTCTGAGAGGTGGACTTGGAGGTGCTATCCACCATGTCTGTCTAGAAGGAAATAGCCACACAGGTGATGACAGGGCTATTTGTCCTCTTAAGTAACATGCCATGAACAAAAGATTATCGGAAGCTACCTACTTGAAGTGAAAGAGCTGAGATGGGCTTTCTGGAGGAAATAACATTGCTGCCCTCACCAGCAGACCCCTGAGGCTGCCAGTGTAAGACAGAAGCCACACTTTCAGAATCAAATGCTTCTTCATCCCTTATATCAGGAACCTGTCAAAAACCATCAACCATTAAAACCAAATCTTTCGCGTATATACATCACAGACGAAAGAAAAGCAAAACTATGCCACTGAGTCTACTGCCAGTGTGGTTACTGAGCAGACCTCCTCTTCAAGGGAAACCTTTGAGATTCCTCCCTTGTGTGCTAGGGGGAAAATCCATTCTAAAGAATAAGCTTCCTATTTATGACCTTAACAGCACAGGTTATGTGCTGGTAAGGCAGAGTTCCATAAAACATGATGGAAGACTTCAGTGAAATGAAAGCATCCGAGCATCATGGCTTCTGGCTTACATCTGTGTCTGATGCATCTCCCCCAAGGCTCTCCTCTGTTCTGTGCAAACTCTGAAGTCCTCCCTGGTGCTTGTAGTCCACCTCGGAGTCACACTCATTGGAATCTCTTAGAGTAGACAGGCCACTGTCAAAACAGCTTTCAGGCAGGCTGTCGACTTCATAATTCATCTTCTGCAGAGGGTCACAGAGAGCCAAAGAGTCACAATCCTCATCTGCATATGAAGAATGGAATGACCTTGTGATAAAAGAGGAGACAACTTTACCAAGGAGTTCACAATGTACAAGAGCACAAAGGGACAGGCTGACAACACTGTCATTTGCCAGGAGATACAGAACAGGATGTTCCCTTGGCATTGGCAAAGGAAGTGTGCAAAGTGCAATCAGTTCATTCTGTTCAGCTATCTATGATGACAAAAGCGCTCAAATGAGAAATATTATATATGTTACTCTTTGAAATTGGCTGATCTATTTCCTGATACAAAAAATGAGTATCCTAGATACAAATACAATGCAACACTACTATTTTTAAATATAACATAGTTAGACCACATGCAGAATAGTTTGTCTACTTCTAGATTGTAACTTTTCTATTTACTTCTATTTATTTATTAACTTTTCTATTTCTATTTGTGTATTTACTAGTTTATTATTTTGAGACAGGGTGTTGGGAAATTTTTTCTTAGGGGTGAGGAGCAGCAATTAGGCAAAGCCTACCCTCATCCAATAAACAACCCAACAATAAAACAAAGTTCAATTTTACAAAAGCACCCCCTGGAAAACCAATGAGTTTATTGTGCTTACTTACAGAGCATGGGTGAGGGGCTACTCACAGGAGCATGAGTGAGCCATAAGGAGCTGCACTGGAAAGTGTAACCCAGTGTGCCTAGCTTCTCCTCAGTGCACAAGATGAGCCCCTTATTAGTCTTTCCCAACCGATATGTACTCTGGCCCCTCCTCAAGACTTCAAGGCCATGTGCAATTAGTACAAAACTACATACAATCGTTTGGGGGTCAATGACTGGATATTTAGGTGTAGGTCTCATGACTCTATCCTCTTCTTCTATGACAGAAAATAAACAGTCAATATCCCAAGCCTAAAGATTTTCTGTAAGCAAGCAGAGCTCTATATTAGCATAAAAAAGAAAGTGACCCTGTTAACTTCATACATCAAACTAACTCCAAGGAAGGAAGATTTGCAGAGGCCATAGTAGTTTGTAGTTGAGTTCAGAATGAAGAGCAGGAGAGGATGTGCTTGTCTTTGAGGCCCTGGTGATGCAATGAAGACCCTGCCCCTTAGAACATACTGGAGAAGAACTCTCACTCCAGTACTAGACCTCATTTGTAGCATCATTCTATCAAGAATAACTCCTAATGAGACTTCTGAAAAAATTTTGTTTTGTGTACTTCTTTCTACATTTTGTTGATAACTGTTCTTAAATATTAGTATAGAAAAAGTAGTATCAACTTTGAATTTTAAAACTGTATATTTTTCATTAACCTTATAATCACCTGCTTAAACACAAAGAAGCTATTCGTTTTATAAAATTAATGAATCAACAAACAAAAATCACGATCATGTTTTTACACAGGCAGTCTGTAGTGAGAGACATATCCAGAAAGACCATAAGCTAACACCAGGTGTGGTGGAACACTATTGACCATCAACAACTTGAAATCTGAGCAGCTATTACATATCTGTCACAAGACTGGAATGATGACTGGAAGGATTGAGGAGAGAATGGAAAGCAGTATTTTAAGAGGGAACAAAATGAGAAATTGGGTATGAAAACTATTAAATGCTTGGATGTACTACTAAAGCTGTTATTTAGAAGTAATTGTTTGGTATGTATAATGTTGAGGTTTTGTCTTTTACTGTCTATTGTAATGCTAAGTGCAGCCCCCCAAGACCTGGGAACCTGACCCCAAGTTAATTCTGACTAGTGATGCTGACAGCCAATATCTGAGCAAAAGATACATAGATGGGGAAGAGGTTTCATGGGCTTGTGAAAAAGAAGCCACCATGGAGTAGAAGAATGTGCAGGAGAAGAGAAGGGAGAGCTGCCATGGGTTAGTTGAACAATAAAAATGTGACCATGTCAGTTGGCCAATTGGAGCTAAGAGCAGCCCAGGTGAAACATAGTAAGCAGTAACTTACTATGGGTTATGGATAGGAAGGAAGATTCTAACAGCACGGAGAGTAGGCGGTTGTTTAACTATTGTGCTGCTTAAGGTACATTAAAATATAAAGGTTGTGTGTGTGTTTTTCATCCAGGAACATAAATGATCAAAGATGGGGAAGAAACCCTAAGCAGGGGTTTTTAAAATATATTTATTACGGCATACTTTTTACCTTTTTTGTTTTTTATACTTTGATATACCACAAACTTTTAGCTAGCAACACTGGAAATGTCTGCCCACGCACATACACACAGAAACACACACACACACAATCACCATTCGTTACTTGATCACTAAAAAGACAAGTTAAAATTCTAACTTTTGGTATGCCTCAATGATTCCTTTAATATTTAGTAACTCAAAGATAGCCACATTTTCTACTTGTTTTGAATACTAAACAATGACAGGTCATGACAAAAGGCTCAGCACAATACACCATCCATAATGCAACAGCACAGGACATGGTTTGAGGGGAGGCATGGACTGGTGTGCACAAAATCATTCAAAGCAGATGGAGAAAATTACTGCCCTCTATGAAATATGTTTACTTACTCTTTTCTCCTTTTTTGCATTTTGAACATTAATATAAGATCATAATAAATATTATTACTTAAATATATTACTTTATTTTAATTCAGCTCTAAGATAATTTGTCTTGGTTTTGACTTTGATCTAGAACTCAAATAACAAAAGAAGCAGATGCTACATACCTATCATAGGCCAGTGGCTGAGAAGAATGGTGATTAAATTTGGGACTGCTTCTAGGAATTGTGTTCCCTGGTGATATGTTATTTATACGCTGTAACACACAAGTAGTTGTTAATATGTAGAAATTTTATATACCACAGTCAGATGTACTTATGCATACCCACACAACTTAACTCCCAATACACATAAAAATAAATCTGACTCCACAGGAGTAAATGCGAACATGAAAAAATCATTTTGAAAATTTCATTAAACGTTCAGAAACATTCAGTAAACATTCTGTTCAGAAATAAAAATGGTTTCTCTTTCTTATCAGATCTCACTGCTATGCAGCTCTACTGCAGACTCCACAAGTCTGCGTGCTATTCAGGTATGCCAAGAGAGCACTACATCAGCTTCCTCAGATTTGTCTCTTCTGGAAACAAAATCTTATTGAACAACTATTCCACATCCTAATATGACACTAAGGTCTCATTTCTAAAGCTGAATCACAAAAACACAATAAGGGGCTTCATTGCAAATGCAATCTGGGCAAACTTGTTTCTGCCAGGAAGGTTAAGAACCCAAACCCAAAGTCCAAGGTTAAGTGCATGCAGAAGAAAAGATCACTAGCCAGAATCAGAGCTACATCATCCTTACTGGCAACATTATTTTTAATGACCACAGGATATCTCACATTTTCTTTGCTGTCCTTCTTTACAAACTAATCAACTCCTATATCATTAACCCCTCTAGAGAAAACACACACACACACACACATTTCAAATTTTTCCCTCATCTCTTAGAACATTTAATTTAAGAATTTGGTTAACATCATTTCACTTATTTATACAAATGGGCAGACAATACTTTTTTAATTTAAAAAGCATTATCCTTTTATTTTAAGACTGTCTCACTATAAGATCAACATGAAGTTATCCTAAAATATATTGTTTTCATGCCCTAAAACACTTGATCAAGAGAAAGAACTGAATATCTTGTAAGAAGACACTGCATACCAAGGATCTGTTGAGCTTGCTATAAGTAGTTTCCAGCGCACTCCTGAGGCCGTCATTACTGTCATGCAGCTTCCGGTTAGCTGTTCTGTGTGGGAAGAAGTAGACAAACATACAGGAAGCACTGGGGGATCAATGGTCCCACTCTTTTTTCAGGCAGTGACATTCAGCATACACAGATGTCACACTTCTTGTAACTTTGTTTGCTTTCAAACACCAGAAACAAAGTCAGAAACAGATACAAATTACAATGAATGGGTTAATTAGTTTACTTTCCCGACCATCTGGGAGCATTTTAAGAATAAATTTGGTGGGCCGAGACACTCTTCCCTCTGATAACTCCTATTAACAGACTTCAGGCAGCTCTTTACTCTCCAGTTCTCATGGCTCAGTCCCAGGCAGAAATGCAGTGTGCTATGTAGCATGCTGGCTATTCCTACATCCCTTCCTCTTCATGCCCTTGATGGGATTTCTCTATCAACCAAACACTTGATTATTGATCTTAGACTAATTAAGAATTTAAATATGAACTTAAGAACCTCACAGGATATAATGAAAGTCATTTAACACACACTTTCCTTAGGTAAAATATAAGGATCTCAGAGTCCTTTTCCTACAGAGTATCTAGTTTTCCTATTTGTAGCCACTTGATCCTTCATCTCTCAGTTCTGTTATCACTTCCACCAGGAGTACCTTATTGACCTTCCATACCTCTCGATGGGGGGAACATATACTTTTCTTTTGTTGTATTCTTATAAATTTGGTGACATACATACATATGTGTATTGATATATTGATACACTTACATATACATATATATATATATATAATTTATGTATTTCTTTGAGTAACAAGCTTATATCTTCCTCCTTTACAAGACTCTTAAGGAGAGACATTTTTCTGCCATTCACTATTCTATCCCCAGTACCTCACCCATGAAAGCTCTTAACCAAGAAATCATTGAGTTAATGAGTAAATGAACTCATAAGTCTACATAATACATGACCTCTGTAGTTTCCACAGCTGAGACTTAATGAATACTAAAAATTGGAGAAGAAAAATATGCCCAGCCTAACATTATTTCATTTAGAAGATTGAAAACCAAAGACTATACAGTATACCAGAAAAATGCAAGAATACCAAGGTTTCTTGAAAAGGACCCTCAGAGGATCAAAGTACCACAAGTTATTGTGAGGTTGATAGTTTAGGATAGAATTGTTTAGGCAATAGTGTTTTAAACAAGAAAAGAAAACCTAAGGGTGTGTGTGTGTGTGTGTAAAAAGTAAGAAAAAAATGACTAAACACTGACACCAGGAGAGCTCATTGAGGGTGAAGGCCTCATTCCTAAGAGGTATAACATGAACACATGAGATATGCTTTTCTAATGTGCAGACACTTTGAGAACTAGACTATACTGGAGTAATTCAGTTAGAGGTAAATGAGTCAGAAAGGGTAGTGGCCTTGCCAAATTGCTGCAATGAGAAGACACAGAGACCTAAACCCTGGACAAGGCAGGTTGTGTTATATGTTTTATTAACACAAATTGGCTAAAATGCACTGAGCATTTCATAAAAGAACTTACTGGAGGATTTCAATTTGTCTCTCAAGATTACTTCGATCTTCTGTGTACTCTCGGATTATTTCCAGATCCCTGCAAAATTATATGTTATCTTTCAGTGAGGAGGGAAGAGACAGCAGGTGTGAGCATGGGGCGTGGGCAAACTCATCACTGTCTCCCAATCCTCATGAGCTATCAGGCTTCATTTATAGAAACCTGTCTATTTGCTACTGAGTTAAAAAGCCAGTTCCACATAGAAATTTCAGTTCCTTAGCCAAAAAGCTGGTCCCTATCAGAATGTCTGTAAACTTGTTTACCAACTTTTTGTGTTTTAAAAGGTTCTTTCTTATTCAAACCAGTGGTCTAATCGTCTCTGTTTCTCCAAGCCAGTCCTTCTTCTCTTTGAGTTTGCTTTTCATATTTTCCTCTTACCTATGTCTCTAAGACTTTTTGTTTCTCCTGTCTGTAATGTGGAGATAATAAGAGTCTCTACAAGAGAGGATATTCCACAGATGAAGTCATGAACACTAATAATGTGCCAAGGATTGTCTTCGTAGGTGGCAATGCTACTTGCTTCAGCTGATATTGCTGTTATTGGATCCTCTTGTTGCTTGGCCAGCACAAGCAGATCTTTTCTCTTGTATTCACCTCCTGTGTCTCCTTAACAATGGCTGAAACTGGCCCTGACATTGCTAATGTTATTACTGCTGGCCCTCCTCAGTGTACACTACTTAACTTTTTGTTTTGGATTTTCCAGCTGAACTTAAAATTTTTTAAGAGCAGTGGCGTATGTTTCTTTTATTTTACATATGATGAACTTACATTATCTCTAAGGATGCAGACAGAATACACACAGTAAAAGTTGTACCATTTAATGATACTATAATGCCTTAATTCTGAAAGTTTGAAAGCAAAAATAAATAAATAAATAAATAAATAAATAAATAAATAAATAAAATCTGTTTTCCTCAAATGTCCAAATTTACTCTTCATGTATATGCATATAACTGTATCTCTCATGTAAAAATGTCTGTCTCTGATTATGTGAAGTTATATGTTACTAATACCAATACCTCAGAACTAAGCACTGAGTAAGTTAATGGCTCTCATTTTAGGCCAGGATTCCTATCTGACAACCACTTTTAACAAAGGTTTGTTTTTTCACAGTATTTTCCTCCCAAGGCCACTTAAAACAAATATGTTTAAGCCCTGCACTGTCCTAAGAGACCTATAATTCAAAACTCTTTACATGCACACACACGTGCGCATGCACACACACACATGCACACATACACACACACACAAGAAAATCTGTCACTAAAAGTAGCATCTTTACAAAGCAATATATATTCCCCAAAGTTAATGAATGACCCTCTGTTATGAATAGTTTCATACCGTTCAGAATTCAGACTCTGGTCAGCATAATCACTTTTCAAAGAATCTAGTTCACTCTGTAGAAAAGCTACATTTGTCTGTGCTTCTAAAAGTTCTTTCTTGAGTTTTTGATTTTCCTAAAATAAATCATGAGATGCATTAGACTTAGGCTTTTCTTGCAGCTAAAATATGTACGCATAATATTATGCACTGTGTAAAGTTTATCATTGTAGTATTCAAATGCTGATTTTTCTGCCCTTATATCTTATTTCAATCTGGACACAGCATTGCAATGTTCATGTCTCCTGTCTCAAGTTTGTGTAAACAATGCTTACCATTTATTCTCTGCTTTGTCAATAAAAGCTAATCATGCAATGGCTGGGCACAAGAAAGAATAGGGTGGGATTTCCATCAGCTAGGGGAGGGAGAAAGACAGAAGACAGATTGAGCCACAAGGAGAGTGAGAAGAGAGATCATAGAAAATTTCATCTGAAGTCCAGAGAACCAGAATATATCAAAATGCTAGAATCTCAGGCATTTTGGCTGGGAGGTAGCCAGATTAGACCAGAGGATTAATATAGATCCATGACTGCCCAGGTATTTCGGCAAAGCTTGATAAGGAAATATTGGTGTCACTGTGTCATTATTGGTGAACTATCTAGAATAAAGAAAAACAGATGCTGTATCAACTTGCAGCTTCCGTTTATATTATAATTTCTATTATACACTAGATAGTGCAGTCCCATAAAAATAACATTTACCTTTCCTAAGTTCTTCACATTTTCCTGCTCAAAAAATTGACTATATATTCAAATATTGTACATTATTAAAGTTTACAGTCACTCATCATCTTGTACTTGACATCTATCCTAAACTATAATGAATAAGGGCTGATAATAATGCACTGAGGTTATTGGAAAATTAAGCCAAAATCGTGTTCCGTCGGTAAGTTAGAGTGCCATCCTTGGAATTGGTTTCTGGAGGTCACTTTTTATTTCCTGTTTACCTTTTGGCTACTTTTTCCAGCTGTTTACCATCGGCTCTGCAACAAAGTTGACACCACACCATGCTCTTGAATTCTTCCCACTGTGAGCTAAATAAAGAAAGCCTGCCTCCAGTATTTAATTATACTAATAAAAGGCACCATGGCAACATTCAATGCTTAAGGAGGTCCTGTTGTTGAACAGAGAAAAGGCCAAGTAACCTGGTTAAAGACCCAAATGGAGAATGAGAAGTGGAACTAGGGAGCTAGAGAGGTGGCTCCACAGTTGAGGACACTTATTGCTGTTCCAGAGGACCTGGGTTCTACTCCCAGAACCAATATGGTGACTCAAAACCATCTGTAACTTCACTTCCAGGGGTCCCATGCCATCTTTTAGACTTTGTGAACACCAGATTTATTCATTTTTATTTCATTTTTATGGTGTATACATATATCAGGATAAAGCACCCATAAAATAAAATAAAAGTAAATAAAATTTTTAAAAAGAGAGGGGGTGGGGGAAATAAATTAGAATCAGCTGGGCAAGGTAGAATTTGTCTTTAATCCCAATAGTGAAGAGACAGAGACCTGCGGTATCTATCTGTATGTATGTATGTATGTATGTCTCTCTGTCTGTCTGGAATAACATATCAGAGACATAGTGACCAACTCTTGTCTATCATAATTTGGTATCAAATGCCACATACAAGAATAACGAATGATAATGAACAATGTTAAGAATTTAAATATTCACGTAATATTCATGTAACAGAATAGTTGAATCAATTGTTCTTTGAACAAGAAGATTTCAAGAAGAGGGAAAGAAAAGATTGTGACAGTTATGCTATGTACTGCCTCATTTTTCCCAGAAGCAAGAAACACTGAGTGTAATAACCCTCAAGGTCCATGAAGTAAAGGAAATATAGTTATAATGAAGGGCTCAAAGTAAAGAAATTTTAGGTTTATATTTAAGTACAATAAGATTAAAACAATCCAGTAAAAACTGTCATTTCATAACCTTTACAATTAATATTGTCAGGAGAAAATAAAGCATTTTTATAGTCGTAGTGGCATAACAAAGATGGTTGAGTATCTTTGTGCTACCTAGTTTCATATCAACTTAATCCAAGCTGGAGTTTCTGGATCTTGCTATAAGCAAGTCTATACAGCATTTTCTTAATTAGATTGATATGGAAGGACTCAGAACATTGCAGGTAGGTTTTTTTTCTGAGGTGAAGTCCTGGGCACTATTAAAAAAAAAAACAGGTTGAATAATCCAGAGGCATCAAATCACTAAGCAGCACCATCTCATGGCTTCAACATCAGCTTCTGTTTCCAGGTTCCTGCCCTACTTGAGTTCCTGCCTTCAGTGCTACTGATGAACTGTAAAATGGAACTGTGACTAAAGTAAACCCTCTCCAAGTTGATTTTGAACACAGTGTTTCATCACAGCAACAGTAACCCTATTTAAACAATCTTTTTTAAAATCAAGAAACCAAAAAACACAATCAGAAAAAGCCAAGAAAGCAGCAATTCTTCATGAAAGTCATGATCCAAATGTAAAGCCAACTACAGTGCAATAGCATCAGGAATGGCTCAGACTGTGAGGCTAGGGCAGATTTCTCCCAAATTGAATAATGCTGATTAGATAGAAAGTCATGCAATGCCAACTCAAGAGCCAGAGTATACAAAGCACTTTTAATTTTTGAGATTAATCTAAAATCAAAACAAGTAAAATAACTTAGCAAAGGTAAATGCCATTGATGTTTACAACAGAGAAAGGAACTATAAACATAGGAACAGAATTTTTTAAAAGATCATAGAGAAAGGCTGAAGGCAGGGGAAGTCACACATACAAATGCAGTGTTAACCACATAAGCTAGTTTTCAACACCAGTATACATCACTTTAAGTAAATAAATATAAAAAAATAATAAAACCATGCATATGGTACATAATTGCAGGGAAAAACTTATAATACAGTGACTCAAATATTTGCAAAGAATTTTTATAATTATAGTATCAGTTTCTCTTTAAGCCTTTATTCCTGAAACACAAAAAACAATAAACACTACAAGCATGGGCATGTTGTCTTGTGTTAAGCTACATTTTTGTCAACTTGATACAAGTTAGAGTCATTTAGAAGAGGAAATCTCAATTGAAAAAACATCTCCATAAGACTGACTTATAGACAAGTCTATTGGGCATTTTCTTGAGTAATAATCGATAGTAAAGTTTCCACTGTGGGTGCTATCACCTCCGGACAGGTGGACCTGGGTTATATAAGAAGGAAAGTTACAGGAGCAAGCCAAGAAGCAGGGTTCCTCATCAGCTTCCGCTTCTCTTCCTGCCCTGATTTTTCCTGCTGATTATAATCTGAGAGCTGGAAGATGGAGTAAACTTTTCTCCCCAAGTTGTTTGGGGTCATGTTGCTTTATCATCCCTATAGAAGGGAAGTAAGACACTGTCTAACAGGAAATAAATTTCTTCTAGTGAAGCATGATTCTTACCATTGTTAAATCATAAATTTGTTTCTTTAAAGCAGTCACATCTTGCTTTTGACTTATTTGTCTTGACTGCTCTTCAAGCTGAAAAAGGAAACAAAACTCATTTAGAAGTGCTTTGGTGAGGATTAGAGATATTTTTAGATATGAATCTGGAAATTCTAGCCATTTTCAATTTTTAATACTTTATGACTTTATAAATCATTAAATGACATAAAATCTTTAATATTAAAACATTTGTTTTAAATAATACAAACATTTGAAGGGGGACTTTTATTATTGAATCTATTTTCTTTAAAATACTGGAAAAGCATTATAAAGCAATTCTTTCTTTCCTTATTTGCTAAAGGAATGTGTGCATTATTTTTTATCCTGTCTATTGTATATTAAAACAAAATCCCAAATTAGCTAAATGAAGACTTAAGGGTGTGTGCTATGGATGATCACACTACAACAACCTGTTTACAATAAACAGAAAGGTCTTGGGCGAAAGGTGTGTGCGAGGGCTGAGCCACACCACAAGGTTTGTCCAGTACACAATCTTGGGGTTCACAATGTCATCAAATAGCTTACAACACATCTCTGCTTAACATTTTGTCTTTTACTTTTTAATCTTTGTAATATCTTACTTTCTGTTAAAGTGTATAAATTTTTTGTTGCCACCTTGGTTTGGTAGATACAGTCTCGTAATCCAGAGTCTAGCCACAATTTTGCTTTAAACTGCTGACCTAGCACCTCTCAAGTACTAGGAAGACAGATGCATGCTAGAATTAAAATTTAAGAAAAGTGTTAATGCCAGACTCACCTGTTTTCTTCATGATGAACTTAAGAAATGTTTGCAAAAATAACTGAAATCAGTAATAACTAAACATGATGTGTAGCTAAACAGTCACAGAGAGAAACTATAAAGCTGCACACATGAGATCTGTTTGCTACCTGATACATTCATACTAGAGTTCAAGAAGATCCACTGCAAAAATAACTTTCCCATGAGTCTGGGCAATCAATTTCATATCAACTATTAATCAAGATGAGGCATAGGCAGAAAGATTGGTAAGTCTGGAGCCAGCCTTGGTTACACAGTGAATTCAAGATCAAGCAGATCAAGACTATAGTTAAATAGATCAAGGCTAAGTCTCAAAAGAAATGTCTAAAGAAAGCTGACCAAAGTACAACATTTTCTTATTATATCTAAGAAAATGATCAAACCCTAGCATTCAAACCTTAGCATTGGAAACAAAAACAAAGATTTGACTACCAAGAAGTAATATCCAGATCTGTGAGGATGTGTTTACAGGTAACCTCAAACAGGAGGTTCTTACTACACTAGCCAAAATGCTTACCACATTTTGTTATTCTCATGTGCTTTAACTATAAGCTGCCTTCATCTTGCCAGAAAGTATTGTGTGACATGACTGGCATGTGGCTAACCATGACTAACAGAGGAATATTAATCAGGTTTTGTGTCCAGTAAGGATTGTCTCATTTTCCAGACAATGCTTTCTGCTGTATCCTTTCATAGACAGAGAAAACGTTCTTTTCGTGTACACTTTAAAATTGACTCTCCTTTAGAGCAAGAGACAGCAGATCTGGCTACAGCCTTCTACATGTGAGTATCAACCTGTGAGTTCTTCAGTATTAGCACCTTTATGAGAATCAGACAGCTGTGGCTTTGTGGATCTACTTCTGGACATTTTAGTCCATTCACCTGTGTGTCCTTCTAAATGCCACCTCTGTGCTGTTTTTGTTATTATACATGTGCAGTATAAACTGAATTTAAAATTGTATATTGTGATGTATTTTTTTCAAAAAGAGATGTTTTATGACTTCACAGGAGAAAAATTATAAAAAAATAACTCAAGACTATCAGAATGTGTTATAAAAAAATAGTGACAGTCACAATAATTTGTAAACAATACTTTATAATTTTTGAGAACCCTTAGAACTCTCTCCTATAAATCTTTTTACTGTTTTATGCCACAAACATATCAGTCGGGCAAGCTGTCTAGTACAGACAAGAAAGTACATACTTCTTTGGTTACCGAGTGTCTCTTTAAGTTGGAGCAGGTCATTTTCCATCTCTGAAACATAGACTTCATTTGTAAAACATAGCCATTTAATAAGATCCTCAGAATTATTTAACATTTTCTGCTCATATTTAACATTTTCAAATTATGGGAATGATCTTAATAAACTATAATTGATAAAATATAAATTACTATGGTTAGGTAGGGAAAATTCATTATTAAAACTGTGTTTTAGTTTCATTGTGTCTTTGTTTAGTTTCTGTTTCAATGTCCATTGGTGAGAGTGGGGTGTTGAAGTCTCCCACTATTATTGTGTGGGGTTTAATGTGCGTTTTGAGATTTAGAAAAGTTTCTTTTTATGAATGATGGTGCCCTAGCATTTGGGGCATAGATGCTCAGAATTGAGACATTCTCTTGGTGTTTTTCTTTTTTTCTTTTGATGAGTATGAAGTCTAAAGCTATTTGCAGTACTTATGGAAACAACCACATGTAAGATGCAAGCTTAACCCTGACACAGCAGCTTGTAGTGTGAGTAAGAGGGTTTGTTGTTGTTGTTGTTTCTGTATATGAAGATGTCAATTTGATAGCACAATATCAATTATACTATAAACATCTGCTCCAAGGCAGGTAAGGCCTCCAAGTCTTCCCTATCCTGCTGCCTCACTCCAGAGTCACTTTTAAACGTGTGTTAGCAAATCACAGATCACAAAGAAACTGTTCATTGGAACAAAGAGAGAGAATGCCAGTGCTTAAGCATGCTTTTGCTCATATTTCTACAATTTTTTTCTTGCCTCTCAGTGATCAGGTGATTGCTAGACACAGAACTTTCTACTTAAAAGAACATTTTTTTATTTCACTTAATATTTACTAATTATCTGCTACACAGCTTGAAGTCAGGTGGGAAGAGGAATACAAGGATTCCTGGCTTATGCAGACAATCTTTCAGTAAAGAACAGACTTTCTACTAGAAACAGAGGATTGACTCAAAGCGTTTAGTAAATATAAACTAAAGTCACAGGAATGATAAATGTTCAAGGATAAGGCATTTTATTTTTCCCATGTTAAAAGTCAGTTGGGCCTTTAAAAATAAGTCTCTCAAGGAGTTGGACCAACTTAGAAATGTCATTCTTCTACTTCAATATAATTCAAAATTTTTTCCAGTTTCAATGAATGAGATACTAAGGCTGTTTCTAGAACATCTAGATACCACATACACACCTTTTTTAACCTTTTAATGGTGACCTGTAAGTCTCCTACTTCTGTTTCGTACTGACGTCTGAGGTCAGTGAGAGCTTCCTCAGCTTTGCGTTTTTCCTAGGAGGAAAATAAAAAGCACCATGTAAGTACTTTCTGCTCGTAAATGTCCTTCAACCCCACATTAACATGAAGCATTTTGTATCAAGCTAAACTGACCAAAATCCTCCTAAATGAGAACAGTAAGGCTAGGTAGCAGAAGAATGTGAGAAAGTCTCTGGAGTACACCAGTGCTGGACTTGAAACCTACTAAACTGGAAGAAATTTAGAATATCAAGATTCACACATTGTCCTTCCATCCCTCGCTTGGTCCTTTTGGGTGGGGCAGACACCTAGCTGGTCTGTTCCTGTGAAGACACCATATCCTAAAACATCCTAGAGGAGCCATTATACTCAGAGCAGTGGATAAGAACCCTCCCTCAATACCCTATGCCCCAGAGCTACAACTGGGAGCTTGGATCGCTCAGGACTCATCAGCCACCCAAACCCCATGCCTCTGGAATACAACTCCACTTCTGCCCCTCGCTTGGTCATTTTGGCTGGGGTAGACACCTAGCAGGTCTGCTGCTGTGAAGACAACATATCCTGAGACATCCTAGAGGAGCCACTGCACTCAGCAGCAAGATTTCAGGATCCCAGAGGTGGCCCTAGTACCAGGAATTCTTCCAACTAAAAGCTCAAGATCACAGGATCATGGAAACATCTGGACTCTGAGGAGTTCTGACACAAGCAAGATAACTGGAAAGACAGGTTCCAGTCAGAATCAGTGAGTGCCAGTAGCACTAGAGTTAATCAGATGGCAAAAGGCAAGCACAAGAACATAAGCAATCGAAACCAAAGTTACTTGGCATCATCAGAACCCAGTTCTTCCACCATAGTAAGTCGTGGATACCACATCACACTGGAATAGCAAGATTCAGAATTAAAATCACTTCTCATTATGATGATACAGGACTTTAAGAAGGATATAAATAACTCCCTTAAAGAAGTACAAGCAAACACGGGTAAACAGGTAGAAGCCCTAAAGAGGAAACACAAAAATCCCTTAAAGAATTGCAAGAAAACCGAATCCAAGAACACATCGAAACAATCATCCATCATGATCAAGTAGGCTTTGGCCCAGGAATGCAGGGATGGTTCAATATTCAGAAATCCATCAATGTAATCCACTATATATAAACAAATTCAAAGGAAAAAATCACATGATCATCTCACTAGATGCTGAGAAAGCATTTGACAAAATTCAACATCCCTTCATAGTAAAAGTCTTGGAAAGATCAGGAATTCAAGGCCTGTACTTAAACATAGTAAAAGCAATATACAGCAAACCAGTAGCCAACATCAAACTAAATGGAGAAAACCTTGAAGCAATTGTACTAAGATCAGGGACTAGACAAGGCTGACCCACTCTCACCCTACCTATTCAATATAGTACTAGCCAGAGCAATTACACAACAAAAAGATATCAAAAGGATACAAATAGGAAAGGAAGAAGTCAAAATATATCACTATTTGCAGATGATAGTATACTTAAGTGACCGCAAAACTACTTCCACCAGAGAACTCCTAAACCTGATTTAAAAAAAAAAAAAAAAAAAAAAACCTTCAGCAAAGTCAACCCAAACACATCAATAGCCTTCCTCTACAAGAAATTAGGAAAATTACAACCTTCACAATAGTCACAAATAATATAAAATACCTTGGGGTGAATCTAATCAAGCATGTGAAAGATCTATATGACAAGAACTTCAAGTCTCTGAAGAAAGAAATCGAAAAAGATCTCAGAAGATGGAAAGATCTCCCATGCTCATGGATTGGCAGGATTAATATAGTAAATATGGCCATCTTGCCAAAAGCAATCTACAGATTCAATGCAATCTCCAATAAACCCCAACTCAATTCTTCACAGAGTTAGATAGAGAAATTCTCAAATTCATTTGGAATAACAAAAAACCCAAGATAGCAAAAACTATTCTCAACAATAAAAGAACTTCTGGAGGAATCACCATTCCTGACCTCAAGCTTTGCTACAGAGCAATAGTGATAAAAACTCCATGGTGTTGGTACAGAGACAGGCAGGAAGATCAATGGAATAGAATTGAAGACCCAGAAATGAACCCACACACCTATAGTCACTTGATCTTTGATGAAGGAGCTAAAACTGTCCAGTAGAAAAAGGACAGCATTTTTAACAAATGGTGCTGGTTCAACTGGAGGACAACATGTAGAAGAATGAAAATCAATCCATTCTTATCTCCTTGTACAAAGCTCAAATCTAAGTGGATAAAGGACCTCCACATAAATCCAGATACACTGAAACTAATAGAAGAGAAGGTGGGGAAGAACCTCGAATACTTGGGCACAGGAGAAAAGTTCCTGAACAGAACACCAGTAGCTTATGCTCTAAGATCAAGAATTGACAAATGGAACTTCATAAAACTGCAAAGTTTCTGTAAGGCAAAGGACACTGTCAATAGGACAAAACAGCAACCAACAGATTGGGAAAAGATCTTTACCAATCCTACATCCAATAGAGGGCTAATATCCAATTTATACAAAGAACTCAAAAAATTAGACTCCAGACTACCAAATAACCCTATTAAAAATTTGGGTACAGAGCTAAACAAAGAATTCTCAACTGAGGAAATTTGAATGGCTGAGAAGCACCTAAAGACATGTTCAGCATCCTTAGTCATAGGGAAATGCAAATCAAAACAACCCTGAGATTCCACCTCACACCAGTCAGAATGGCTAAGATTAAAAACTCAGGTGATAGTAGATGCTGGCAAGAATGTGGAGAAAGAGGAACACTCCTCCATTGTTGGTGGGATTGCAAGATGGTGCAACCACTCTGGAAATCAGTCTGGCAGTTCCTCAGAAAATTGGACATAGCATTACCTGAGGACCCAGCTATACCATTCCTGGGCTTATAGCCAGAAGATGCTCCAACATATAACAAGGACATATGCTCCACTATGTTCATAGCAGTCTTATTTATAATAGCCAGAATATGGAAAGAACCCATGTGTCCCTCAACAGAGAAATGGATACAAAAAATGTGGTACACTTATACAATGGAGTATTACTCAGCTATTAAAAACAATGAATTCTAGAAATTCTTAGGTAAATGGATGGAACTAGAAATATCATCCTGAGTGAGGTAACCCAGTCACAAAAGAATACACATGATATTTGGTATTCACTCACTGATTATTGGATATTAGCCCAAAAGCTTGCAAGACCCAAGATGCAACTCACAGACCACATGAAGCTCATGAAGAGGAAAGACCAAGTGTGGGTGCTTCAATCCTTCTTAGAAGTAGTAACAAAATACTCAAGGGAGCAAATATGGAGACAAAGTGTGGGACAGGAACTGAAGGAGAGGCAATCTGGATTCCACCTGGGTATCCATCCCTTGTGCAGTCACTAAAGGTAGATGCTGAAGTGGATGCCAGGAAGTGCATGCTGACAGGAGCCTGATATAACTGTCTCCTTAGAGGTCTGCCAGAGTCTGACATATTCAGAGAAGAATGCTCAGAGCTACCCATTGAACTGATCAAGGGGTTCCCAATGGAGGAGTTAGAGAGAAGACTGAAGGAGCTGAAAGAGTCTGTGGCCCCATGAGGAGAGCAACAATACCAACCCACCAGAGCTCCCAGGGTCCAAACCACCAGCCTGGAAGCACATAGGGAGGAACCCATGGCTCCAGCTGTATATGTAGGGTAGGATGGCCCTGTTGGGCATAGGTGGGAGAGGAAATCCTTGGTCCTATGAAGGTTGGACACCAAGTGTGGGGGATTCGAGGGTGGGGATGTGGGAGTGGGGGGTTAGGTGGGGCACATCCTCATAGAAGCAGGAGGAAGGGGGATGAAATACGGGGTTCATGGGCGGGAAGGGGAATGGGATAAGAGGATAACATCTGAAATGTACATAAAATATCCAATAAAAAATATTTAAAAAAAAGTTTCACACATCATCTTGAAGTGCAGGCTCTAAGACTGTAACACTGTGCTAAGATCACAACACACCAATAAATCAGTTAAATATTACTGACAAAAAATATAGCACATCTATGGGCTCTATTGAATTCCTACATACTGTGTTGTCTCAGGACTTAGAAAGGCACAACCAGCATAATTGTCCTATCTTTTTTTAAACACAAATTGAAAGGACATCAAATTAAAATTTTCTATGCAGTCACAACTGTGTCCAGGGGCATATCAGGTGCTTCAGCCTTCCCCCTTTGCCCACACCCATAGACAGGTTGACTCCCAAGGGATACATTATAATCAGACTCCCAGGTGGTAACTCCCCACCCCAATACCTAGCATAACTGGGACCCCCATGGAACCCAGAATTGATAGGACCTATCCATCCTGCCAAAGACATCACTCTTCTGGTCCAGAACTGTTCCTGGGGGCAGATGAGGTGCACCAGTACTCCCCCCATGCCTACATCCAAAAACAGCTTGATTCCCAGGAAGTCTGTCATAACCAGGCTTGCAAATCCTGAGTTCCTAGTCCCTTCCCACACCCAGAGACACCCTGTCTCAATGAGGTTGATCATAACTAGGTGTACAAGAGTGACAGGCTCCAGGAAGAGATAGCAAGGTCACTTAACACCGGAGATAACCACACGGAAAGAGGTAAGCACAATAACATAAGCAACAGAAACCCATGCCACTTGGTACCATCAGAACCCAGTTCTTCTACCACAGCAAGCTCTGAATACCCTAACACACCTGAAAGCAAGATTCTGACCTAAAATCTTATCTCATGAAGATGATAGTGGACCTTGAGGAGGATATAAATAACTCCCTTAAAGATATACAAGAAAACAAGGGTAAACAGGTAGAAGCCTGTTGCCGTAAATCTCCAACCCTAATAGGACCGGTCAATGAAAACACAACTCAGTAATTATGGTTATATTCTGCAAGCCTAGATTAGCCAGATTCACCACTTCACTACTCTATTCCCCAGCTGTGAAACCCTTATAACTTAAAGGTTTTCCAGCCCCTACTTTTGTCTTTCTACCTCCTGCTTCCCAGTCATCCTCCTCTG